CAAATGATCAAGTTGTAAGCGTTTAAAACCTGACACTATTCCGACAAGAATTGTTTGATTTGAACCCCCAGTATAGTCCACAAAGACGCAGTCCTACGTCACAAGTGGCCGAGAAATGGAAACACGAAGTCAACTCTAATCCTATATTAAGGGACGAGTTTAGTTTAGACAAAAACATCGAGTTTCCCGATATTATTCCCGAATTTCTATTCATTTAGGGAGAATATCGAATTTGGAGATATCAAGCAAGGGAAATTTAACATTTATAGATCCTTGAACTGGTTTAGATTTTCAGGACACAGTCACTTACTATTAAGGGAATTTTGTTGAAAATTCTAAATGAATGTTGAGGATATTTTGGAATTAATTCTAGAGATAACAACAATGTATTTCAGAGAACTTTCATTCGGGAAGAACTCTAAGAGAGCCTTGACTAGAACTCCAAGTCAATTGTGTGAGTTCAGAGAAAAGTTTTTAGCTAGTTCTGTGGGAAATTCGATGATGATTGTCAAGAGGATTCCTGTTGAATTGTAGGTAAATTTCTAAAGAATCTTTTAAATAAATTCTTAGATATTTTTTAAGAGAGTTCTGATGAGAAATCCAAGCATATTTTGCGGGCATTGAATTTCGAGTAAGTTTGATAAGGGAATCGAATTGTGAAGAGATTAATTTTATTCCGAGCTTATGCTCGCCAAGGCCATCTCGAGAAGAGTTTCTAGAGAATTCTAAAATGGATTCCAAGTAAATTGTCAGACGAACTTAGAGGATATAATAAATAATTTTAAAGTAGAAATTTAAGATAATTTTGAGGTGAATTGCTTGGGAATTCTAAGGTCAGGGTGTCAACTACCTGGAAACACATGGAAAATCAGGAAACATCAGGGAATTCATTTTTGTACCTGGGCATCAGGGCTTCTCAGGGAATTTCATTCAAATTCAGGGAAATATTTCTTAACCACAGAAACTTATTAATAAGTATGACTGACTTCGGTAGTTTCAAACAACTCGGTGTAGTTTGAGGATGGTTGCTCATTTAACATTTTAAATAGAGGTGCGAACTTGTGGTTGTTCCATGCTTGATGTAGCATTTTTGCAAGGTATGCAAACATTGCTCAAATAAAAGAGTATTTCGATGATGTTGGGCCTAAAATAAATTCAGCTATTTGGTGTTGGCACCCAACTGAGAACTGAGATCCTGAGGGTTGATAAAAATCCCCTTCCGTAGATGCTAGACGTTGTTAGTCGCTGCTAATTTTAACCTCAAAATTGTGTGTCGTCTCTTAATATATGCTGCACCTAATTGCGTCTGACAAAATTTAACCTTCGAGTAGATTGGTGCGTCTACTCGATCCAGTTGTGTCCAACAAAAATCAATCCTTTGAGGGCATTGGGTCTTTGAGTAAATGCAAGAATGGATAAAAGGAGAGGATGATTTATTATCTGAATACTTGTAGTTCTTGTTCCTTACTGTATTCTTAACAACCTGATTAGCTCAGAGAATCAACTAAATGAGAATTTAAGGCAAATGGTCTTGCTTGGATGTGTTTTTTTCTATTGCTTGGAGTAGCACTTTTATTATTGAATACGAATAAATATACGCACAAACATTGCCTTGACAGCATAGAGTGGCTTTATTGAGGTATTATAGGTCTTCATTGTAAACCTAGTTAACTCGGAAAATTAGGTTCTCGGTGAAGTTTTAGTATTGTGATGTTCCTGCTATTGCAATTGAGATGGCAGTATCTCACAAAATTTTTGAGGTGAATGCTCAAGTAACAATTTTGATTTTATCATGGTTTTAAACATGTTTATAAAGGTTAGAATGGACTTGAAGACCATAATTGAACCGGAAATGCTGCTTGAGTGTGCGCCATTAATGCGACAGTACAAAGTCAAACGTGCAGCTTTTGCCTAACCCGTCAACTTCTATTCAATTTCCATACTGCCGTACTCTAACGGAACTATCTACCTACCATCTTCTAAAGACCATTCTCTAGCTAATAAATTATCACACTAAAGCTTCATATTAGATAGCATTTCCAACCAACTCTTCTATAAGAAATTTTCTCAATACTTCAAGATGATCAAATATCAGAGATTCTCTAGGTGTCTCAGAAATTATTACAAAGCCTTCTGGTGCTCGTAGGTCTCCAATAACTTCACATGATATTTTGTCAATACTTCAGGATAATTAAGTGTTATTCTGAAGATATTCAACTGTCCAACAATTAAAATAAAGTCTCTCAGAGATTCTCTGATGATATAAGCTGTCTCAGGAATTATTGCAAAGACCTCCAGGTGCTCGTAGGTCTCCAAACACATCTCTGGATATTATTTTTTTTCAATAAATCGTGGTTCAGCATGTTTTGACAGCAGAATCGTCCGAGACCTTTTCTCGTGGTTCGAACTCGTTACCTGACACTGGATTACGTTGTACGCTCCAGGAAACATTCTTGAATCAAAATCACCTTCTCCATTCGTACTAAAATCCCCGAAGTAAATAAAATGTGCACACGCACACATATGTAGGGATGAATACCACACACCTTTTTTCCCGTGTTGGGTATTTTGAACACTGCGAGCAGTATCCAAGTGAACAATAGATCTAAGATATATTCACTGTTTTAATATTGCTTTATCAGCACGTCGTATCTCCATTGTGTGAAGCGACCGACATAGACTGACCGAAAGCGTTTTCCTTGTTAGGTATTGCATTTCGAATGAATTGCACTACTTGGCGGGGAACTGAATTCCAAATATCAAAGGGTTCTGTCAACCCCTTATCCAGAAAAATACGCCTCTTATTGAATATTGCTGTACAAGAGCATAGCAGGTGTTCAGAGTCTTCTTTTTCTATGTCACATAATCGACACATGTCCCCTTGATGTTTTCCTATTACCTTCAAGTGATATTTACATTAGGGAGAGTGGGATTGCCAACTTCCTGTTGCTAACATTTCGTGGATAGAGGACGGGCTCTTCTCCACACTCATGGGGCATCCTTCAGGGCGAGGGTTTATTCCATTGCGAATTATATGATCTTGGTTGCTGAAAGGAGATTCTTATTCCGTTCCCGGTGGGTTTCGTGTGGGTATTTCTGCTTACAGGCGCTTCATACAGCGTTTTTGGCGCTTCATACAGCGCCAAGCTGAATATGTTTGTCAGTGGGACTTGAGCAAGCCGCCCAGATTGGATTGCCGATTGTTATGTGCAGGCGCCTTGCTACATGAGTGGTAGTCTCAATCATCATCATCATCAAGTGATATTTACATGGACAGTGTCCTGTTATTAAACCAGTGTACATACTCAGCAGTGTTGGAAAAGTTCGCGATATTTCACGAAGTTCACCAAGGGAAAAGTTCGCGAGTCATAGCGAACTTTGATGAACTTTTCCATCACTGATACTCAGATCTAGCTTTGATAGTTCAGGAATCTTGCTAGTCATTGAAATGCTCGGATTAATAAACCGTTTCGACTGCCACTTTCATTTTTTTCCCATTTCTTGAACTCCATTCTAAGAGAGCAAGCAGAAACTCCAAATAATGGTACTGGTCCTATAAATTGTTGAGATGATCCAGGCCTAGCTAGTGTGTCGGCTTTCTCATTCCCTTGAATTCCGCAGTGACCAGAAACCCAAAATAGGTTCACTTGGTTTTGGCAGGCCAATTTTTCAAGTGACATTGCACATTCCCATACAAGTTTAGAATTACATGTTGCTGATTTCAAAGCATTTAGTGCTGCTTGGCTACCAGACATAATGCAGATATTCGAATGTCTATAATTTCTACGCAAGCAAATTTTAGAACATTCAAAAATTGCTTGGACTTCTGCTTGGAACACTGTAGGCCAGTAGCCCCTAGATATTGAGATATTTATTCCTGGACCTGTTACCCCTGCTCCTACATGATTATCCAATCTAGAGCCGTCTGTATACAAGAGAATTGATCCTGGACGAATGTTTGCTCCCCCATTTTCCCACAAATCGCGATCCGGATCTGCTACATTGTAAAGACGATCGAAGTGATATTTTCTTCTTCATCCAATCTTCATTTTTATCACAAGAGAATCAATATTGAACATTCTTAGGATGCTCATATGTCCTCTAAAATCACCTTCAAGGAAGTGCTGTGACCGTTGGATCCTTAATGCACTCCTTTCGGCTTCTAATTCAATAAAGTGATGCTGCTCATTGCACATTGAGAGAGTAGCTAGTCTTTGCAGCCTCCCTGAGCTGATTTTTCATTGGTTTTAGGCCACCAAACCAATGATGCATAGGTTATTCTGGTTCTTACACACCCTTTAAACATTTTTAACAGTTTCAAATGTTAGAACTGTAAAGTAGTTTGAAAAAAATTTGAAACTCAGCATTGCGAACGGCCTAAAGAGCTCTGAATTCATTATCGTTGTCCCTTCATGCTGCTCTAGAACAGCGTTTTTCAAACCGCGGAGCCCCACTGACTCGCAAGCTCGCTGATGCCAAAGTTTACGGGTCGTAGTTTCCGGTTTCTAACTTACTAAATCTTCAAGTCTAAATGCCATAAAATCCTCAGGATCTACAAGTTCCGTCAGCCTCTGCTCCTTACAAGATTTAAGCAACACCCTGGCATCCCGGTTGCAAGTGGCATAATCATTCATATTCCCCGCATAGCACCAGCAACTGCCCAGTTCGAGCAATCTACCTACCCGCACGCGGCGATTCAGCAGCATTGATATGAAGTCAGCGCGAACCAGAGTTTGCTTTTGTGGCAATTTCTGTTTCCACTTGAACCATATCTCTACGCTCACTTGCTACGCTGCGCTCTTTCCCTATCACTACCTCCGTCTCCTCCCCACCCCCCTATACAACACCGTCACCGGTCGACGCTCCATTCGGTGCGCCATGCCGGCCGTCTGCCTGCCCACCACCATGCCTGTCCGGGTCCGGGTTGTACACCAGTAGAGAACGCAGAGCGAGAGAAAATGCTGTTGAACTGAGCGGAGTGTACTTTCGCGAGCTAAGGCTAGCGAAAGGTGACTTAGTTTCCTAGCGAATGCCGAGCTACCAAGTCGTGCATGCTCACGTGCTGCTCGCAAACTGCGCTAACGGTATAGTGTTTTATGTTTGTACAAGTGCTTTGCCCGGTGGTTTTCCGAATTCACCTGAGAGCACATGGGCTTCGAATTTATAGCGAATGAAAAAGGTTTCCACTCACGTCATACCAGCGCCGAAGACGACGACGACGGGATCGGGCATCATAGGGAAACCCCACTGAATTGCTAGTAATGCCGTGTGCTACGTGTGCAACTCACGAAGGAATTTGATTGTTTCCTGCTCGAAAATAAGTGTTGCAACTGTTGCTGTACGAAAAGTGAATTGTGGCAAAAGTGGAATGCAGTTTGGTTGGATGCAATTCGACTGGAAATAGTAATAGTGAATCAATACCTTCTCCATCGCGCTCGCGCAAGTGCCCCAGCCAAAAATCAAAAACCTTGCACTGTTGCTCCTATAGATGCAGCAAGATTCATGTAATCAACGGTGGTGAATAAAAGAAGAGAAAAAATAATAATTGCCACGTTAAATAATTTTCCAAGCACACCAAGCGAAACGAATAAGCTAGAAAAAAAAGTGTGCTGTTTTTATTATTTTGTGTGAAGTCTGTAACGCGGCAACTTACGGCGAGTAAAAGTTTGTGGTTTTCAACTATTCGGTCATCTTTGCCAGGGTGTCCAATTTTTGGCCAGCGGGTGAAAATGTGCCTTCGAAGCGTGTCGAATCGAAACCAGCTGATATTGGCCAATTGTTGTTGCAGCGTCGGCGGTGGTGCCGCGGAATAATAGCGTCTAATTCCAATCAATCTCTCGCGGTGGTCATCTCGAACAAGTACCGCGAGGGAAAAACCACTCAACCGCTAGGCAAGGCTGATACGAGCGGACGATTGATTAGAAGAGATTGCTGCTACCGCACCAAGAAGAGGAAGCAACGGTCCACAACAATCTGTTCAAACATTTATACAACTAAGACGAGAGATCGACGTAAGCACGTAGGTCGGAAGAAAAATCGAGGCTGATTCACTGCAGCTCGGAAGAGAAAACTGATCCGCAGATCGGAAAAAGCTATTTCCTAGGCGGAGAAGGGGGTCCCAGCAGCGCAACGATGGATAGCGTTATGAGCGACTTGCTGCTCAATGTATGTACATTTTTGGATTTTTGTTTTGTAATATAATGTAGACAAGTGCTTACTGTGTGTGTGATTGTGTGTGTCCAGATGGGCCATATGGTTTATCGATTAGGTAGATTATTGCTGTTGCGCGTGGAAGTGCAAACTGGGCAATTTGTCCCACTAGAAACACTTGTCGGTTTATGAGGGCTTTAAGGTCGACTAATTGAAAGTTTTACGATGGACATGTGTCGACTTGTAAGCGTGGAATGGATGCTCTTGAACTGTTTGAAGGTTTCAAAACAGTAACTAAATCATTGGAAATATAAACAGTATAACTTACTGTTGTAGGGTCAAACTTCCTCTCATGACAAATACACTGCAAATCTACTTTATCGGTCGGTTGAAGTACAGAATGTGAACTTGAGAATTTTTGTCGGATTTTTAATTAAGTAGTTCTGCAATTTATTTTGCTGAGATTCAGTAAAACAATTGCCGAGACTCAGCTAACAAATAAGATTTTGCTGATAAATCAGCTAACAAATATATATTATGCAAAGATATCAGCAAAAAAAAATGCCGAGGTAATCGGCTGTTGGAGATTTTACCGAGCTAGAATAAGTGTGTAAGCGATGCATTTAAACGTCGGTTGTTCCAGAATTGCAACATGCCCACTAAAACTAACTAGGGTAAATGTTGGCTTCGGCACCCATTGACTGTTTTCGGCAACCAAAATTAAAACGTTAATTTCACTATGTTTTCCCAGCAACGCACTTCCCTGAATGTGTCCAAACGATTGTTTAGCCTTTCAGCTTCAATCTGATTATATTTGAACGATCGAGCAATCCAGTAATGCTACATTTTTCTTCAAATAAAGCATACGCACTACAAAATGGGGTTGATTTCGAGTTGCCGATAATAGAACAGCTGGTTAACACGCAGTTCTAATGGGAAGGTTGCCGAAGAAAAAGAGACTGCCGACAATAGTCACACTCACTTGAGAAGTTTGGAGCGTTGTAAAAACGCTTTCAAAACGTTTTGAAAAATTCTGTCGATTGGAATGGATAGAGAAGCAAGCAGCAGATGAATGTAAACAAACAGACACATCATATATGTGCGTGACGCTGAGAAAATGCTAGTAGAAGTGCAGACGCTGCTTAGATTGACGAGAATACGTAAATTCCCCTATATCATCTGATAGAGCAAATTATCGCTCAGATGCTGGTGTCGGTTTGCCAGATTCAGTCTATATTCACGAGAAAGCAACGTTTAAAGTCATTGTTTACATTTGGTAAATAGGCCTTTTTTAATTGTTTTTCTAGTTACTAGCTTTCCCTATCATACTTCAAAACTATCATCAACGATAAAGTTCAGTGTTGTGGGGCCCAACCTGAGTAAGCCTACTTGTCGGATTGAAAACTATTTAGAACCAAATCAACTCCGGTTAGGCACCTTGATGTCATTTGTGACAAATGTCAAACTTGCCGTTTCCGTTCCACTTCCGCCCACATTGCGTTTGGGTCTTTACTATATTCCATGCGCTAGATGACAGCGAGGCTAGAACTAAAAAGCGTACAAATTAAGAACGGTCAGATTACCGGGGATCCACGGTACTGCTGAAAATTTAACAGCTAAGGAACTACCAAAGGCGAAGCTACCAGCTGGAAGTTGATAAGTATATAATAAGCTACTGATCTTTGAAAATCTTTTTAATTTTCACCTGTAGTGCACAGCGTTGGAAAAGATCGCGATATTTCACGAAGTTCACCAAGGGAAAAGTTCGCGAGTCATAGTGAGTTTTGGTGAACTTTTCCAACACTGGTAGTGCATTTCCGGCCAATGTTTATTGTTGGTTGTGAACCAATTTATAAAAATCATTCAAAAGCACATCTACCGTTAAGCATTCTATACGAAATCCCTACTTGGGGATTGTATTGTTGAATTTCATTTCGAAACATTAATGTGTAAAATTTAACACATTTCGTGAAAAAACGCTTCTTATATGCCTTAAGACTAGTCAATTTCCCAAGTATTGACAGAAGAGTGGTGAAGACAAAGGCCTAATAATCGCAACGTTCATGGTTCGAGCCCAGTCTGTTTCCTTTTTAATTTTTTTGAACATCATTCATTCCTTCCAACCATCAAGTAATTTCTACCCAACCAAGCGCTTTGTTGCGAGTACTTAAAATTAATTATATGATTTGAGTAGTAGCCTATACTGAAGATCCGAGAGATGTCGCCCCTTCATTGGTAGGAAAATCATTTTTGCATTGTACTAGTCACCTTTCGCGTCACTAGAGCCGCTACTATCGGGAAAAATTGTGTCTTGGGGATAATAGAAGAGTGAACCATATTGTTAATTTATAATATTTGGTTTGAACTTCCTTGGAATTAAACTCAAAACTACTGTTATATAAACTCTCCTTGACGCAATCGAAAATATTAAATTCACCTTAAGATGCCATTGGAACCGAATCAACTGCAGATGCAGATTTCTTTCGAATTCTTGTCACAATTCTTTTGAAATAATTCTCAGAATTGCTTTGAATCTCTTGTTGGAATTTCTTTGGAGTTGTGTTTTTTTTTTTAATTTTATTGAACTATCCTCTGAGTTCTTCTGAGATATTCTTTGAAATTCTTCTAGAAATTTCCTCACAATGCCCTTGGAATTCTCTTCATAGTTGCCATGTAGTTCTACTTATTACTACCTTCAAATTGCCCAAAGCATTTCAATTCTTTCTTCAACCTTTCAAGAACTACTTTCTAGTCTCATCGAAATTCTTTAAGAATACTTTCCAGAAATTCCTACGAGTTCTCTTCGAAATACCCATTGGATTATGCCAATTCTTATCGAAATTCAATTTTATTTTTTTCCTGTAAATTCATCCAAGTTCAAGACCCAAGTTTTTTTTTCAACCTCAAGGTTACTAAAATAATTTCTTACTACAATCTTTCACTTTCCAAAATTCAATCGTGTTTACCATGGCGTTCAGCCTAGCAGCCTTCGGATAATTTGCATGATTCTGTAGCTCGGAAAACTTCTTAAGTCTTAATAGGCCTTGTAAATCTTTCGAGATATCCAAGTTCAAAATATTAACTGAATTTTAAAGCTCATGAAATCGGTTATAGATTTTTAGAAACAATATTTTTAATGATTCGTGACCTAAATGGTTTTTCAAGATCTAAACAAGTAGAAGGGTCTGTGCCTAGGGGCACGAACGGAAGCTTGGCGTAGGACCGCTAGTGGACGGAACAAATATGTTGAGCCTTTAGTTCTTTTAATTGGTCGATAATCTATTATCGTAACGCTTTCCGTTTTTGAATTGATGGCCGTGAAAAGGGTCGGTTGTTTTTCAAATAGTGGCCCTTAAAAGGGCCATTGTTTGGTTTTTTTCTGGTGTCCTTTTGATCGTTTGGGACCGGTACCGTGTAGCTGATGAAAAAATAATGATTATTAATACCTGTAATTTTAAAAGTTTGTTTGGGACATTAAATTCTGAATGATGACAAGAGAAATAGGTGATGAATACTTTACATCTAAGATCTGGAATTTGTAGCGCAAAGGCCGTGAGCGGTCGGAACAAACGTGTTTGCTCTTAGTTCTTTTAATTATTCGGAAATCTATTGTATAACCCCTTCTGTATTTGAATTGGTGTCCCTGAAAAGGGCCTTTTGTTTTTCAAATAGTGGCCCTTGTATTTTTCTTGTGTCCATCGAAAAGGGTTATTGGAGTTGGCCTTTTGACGCTCCTTTTATTTTGGCGGTGTGTGTTGATATTGCTGTTGTATATGCTTCAGTGGATGGAGAACTAACTCGAAATGCATAAACGTGCTACCAATTGACGCCTGTGGGAAGGTTTAGAGCTGGATGATTTACGCAAGTTTATTCTCTCACGATGACTCAATGACCCAAAGCTGATAGTGATTTTCCGAACACTGCTATTGGCACTGATTGATGATACTTTGCTGTTATTTCTCTCCATGCTTCAAAAATATTTACATTTTGTGAACCTGTTTTACCCACCATCTAAAGATCTTAAAAGAAATTCTATAGCGTAGAAATATGGTGGCCCTGAAAAAGGCCATTTGGGATCCAAGAGAAATACATGCTGGTACTTTCGGGATGAAATTTTGGGTGAACTTCTTAGCAGTTCTAGATGAAATTTAGGAAAATTAGGAAAGCTCCGGGAGCACTTTCTCTAACAGCTTTCGGAAAATGCTAAGGGAACAGTCACAGATATCTGAGAGGAATTCAGAAGTGTTGCAGGGAAACTTCCGAGGGAACTGCTGAAAAACTTCAACAATTTCTGAGAAAACTGCTTAAAACTTGCCCAGCATTTCACGAGGAACTTCCCATAAATTCACTTGAAACATCCCGAATAATGTTTTAGGGTTCGCTAGAATAAAATTTCCAGAATGTTCCATGCACATGCCGGAATTTCTTGAACTTCTCGCCAGATTCGTCAGATTCTTGAAAGTTTCGTTGGGTTCTCGAAAGTTCCGTGAACTTCTCTGAAATTCTGTAAACTTATCTGAAAATACCTGAGCATCTTTGAAGATCCGTAAACTTCTCGGAAAATACCTGAAATTTCGGTAACGTATTTGAAGAACCGTGAGCTTCTATGAAGATCCGTGAGCGTCCTTAAAGTTCCTTGAGCTTTTTTCCATTTGTGCCAACTTCCCTGTCATTCCATTAACTGCTTTGAATTTACGTAAATTTATCGGCAGCTTCGTTTGCTAGTCGGAAGTTCAGTAAACTTGTCGGAAAATCAGTGAACTAGTTGGAAGTTCCTTGAAATTCTCGTAAGAGGAGAAGTTCAGAGAACTTCCGATAAGAAATTCAGAGAACTTCAGAGCACATCTGACGAAAAGCTCAAAGGAAGGATAGCTTCAGAGAAATTCTGACGAGAAATTCAGAAAACTTCCGAGGAGAAGTTTAGAGAATGCTCGACAAGAATTCAGAGAAATTCCGAGAAGAAGTTCTGACGCGATTGTACCTGTCTCATAGCGTTCGTATGAGAAAATGGAAGA